TCGCCACCCCTGCGCCGCGCCCTGCCACGACGGGGACTGTCCGAAGACGCCCTGCAAGACCAAGGTGAGGGCCCGGCGCCAAACCAAATGGAGTTGGTGAGAGTGAGGTGCTTTGTTTGGGATGTGCCGGCTGGCCGGTCCGATCCATCTGACAGCGTAATTCATAGATGAACGGGTTTTTGTTTTACGTTCCACCTTGTGATTATATTGCGTGTTTGCGGCCTTGGGAGCCTGGGCGGCCACGCTTGCCGCCCCGGTCCCCGGCCGGTGCCAGCGCGGGCCGGTCCCGCGGCCGGACCGGCGTCCCTGCTGATGGTGCGTTGTCAGCCGGCCCGGCCGGTGCGGGTCTGGACGGCCTCCCCACGCTGCGGGGCCTGTCTTTGTCGTCATCGTCCGCGGTCATTCGCGCTCCGCTCCGCCGGCGTCGATGGTAGTCGCCGGCTGCCGGCCGCCCCGACCGTCGCCGCTGACCGTGACCGCGTGACCCGGCAGGTGCCGGTCAGCTGTGAGTGTGGCCACCGCTCGCGTACGCTGGCCTGCAGCGACACGGGCGCCTACCGCTCGCTCAACACGTCGCTGATCGCGTACAAGCTGGCGGCCATCCAGGCGGGCGGCGCCACCGTCGACGTGTCGGAGCTGATGTCGGGCTCCGCGCCCGGCAAGAACTCCAGGGCCAAGGCGTGAGTGGACCGCGCCCGGCCGGCGGGACGCGGGCGCGATCGCCGCCGTACCTGCCGGCGCGCCGCAGCTGTAGGGAGGCGTACTTCGGTGGTACATGTGGTGACACTAAACAAAGCACGGCTGTGACCCGCACCGGGCCGGTCACAGGTCACGCCCTCCGCCGGCTCCGGAGCGATGACGATGACGTGGACGATGTGACCTGATCGCACCGCGACAGTGTGATCGGCGCCGGTCTGCTGTTTGTGCAGCGGGCGACCCCCCCCCCCCCCTCCCCCCTCCCGACGTCTCGTGCGTGCTGCCGTTGTTCGTCAGTCCGCAGTGTGGCGCCGAGCTTATGCTATGCCGTTACTGTCCCGCGGTAACCATCGGCGAGCGTCTGTTATTCCGTCACTGTTCTTCGTGAACCACCGCCGAGTGTCTGTTATCCCATCGCCGTCCTTTGGTAACCACCGGCGAGTGCCTGTTATCCCGTGGCTGTCCCTTGGTAACCATCGGCGAGTGTCTCTTATCCCGCCACTGTCCCCCGGCAACCTCTGCTAAGTGTCTGTTATCCCGCCGCGGTCCCTTGGCAACCACCGGCGAGTGTCTTATCCCGCTGCTGTGCCCCGGCAACCTCTGCTAAGTGTCTGTTATCCCGCCACGGTCCCTTGGTAACCACCGGCAAGTGCCTATTATCCCATCACCATCCTGTGGTAACCGCCGGCGAGTGCCTGTTATCTCGCGGCTGTCCCTTGGTAACCACCGGCGAGTGTCTCTTATCCCGCTGCTGTGCCCCGGCAACCTCTGCTAAGTGTCTGCTATCCCGCCGCGGTCCCTTGGTAACCACCGGCGAGTGTCTCTTGTCCCGCTGCTGTGCCCCGGCAACCTCTGTTAAGTGTCTGTTATCCCGCCGCCGTCCCTTGGTAACCACCGTTAAGTGTCTGTTATCCCGCCGCTGTCCCTTGGTAACCACCGCTAAGTGTCTGTTATCCCGCGGCCGTCCCCTGGCAACCACCGCTGGGTGTCTGCGATGCCGTCCTCGCGCCGCGTGACGCCCGTCCCCCGGCCGGCTCCCGCCGCCAGCAGTCTGCAGTGTAACGCGGAATGCGCGGTGCTGGAGCGGAACCGGCGGCTGGCGCTGGCGCTGCAGATTCGCAACCCGGAGCTGTCGAGCAAGGCCGGCCCGCCCACCTACCCGCCCTCCATGCTGGACATGGCGCGCCGCGCCAAGGGCCTGGCCGAGGAGGTGCACCAGCAGCTGACCGACCTGGTCCAGCTGGCGCAGCAGGTGAGCCGGCGGAAAGGCATGGCGAGTTAGGAGAGAGCATAGAAGAGAGAATGACTTCCGTGTCGTCGGCGGCTGGGGTGCTCGGACGGGCGCAGCTTGTGGTGTGCCATGTTAGAGACTGTACACAGGGCTCTGTGTCAGAGACGGGACCGATGGTGGCGGGGCCGTCGCAGAGGTCGTGGGCCCGAACGTGGCGCGCGCTCTCCTGACGTTACGCGTGATGTGGTTCCGTAGTGTTGTGCCGATGGACGATTTTGCCTTTGAGCACTGTTGTCGCGCGGCCAGCAGTGTTTGGTTTCGTGCGCGCGTGCTCCTCGCTCGGCTTCCCGACGCGTGACGCGTCGCCGCCGCCGGCAGTCGAAGCAGAAGAGCCGCAGCGTGGCGTTCGCGCCGATGAACCGCGAGCGTCGCCAGTTCATCCACGAGTACTGCGAGCACTTCGGCTGCCAGTCGGAGAGCTACGACGAGGAGCCGAAGCGGAACGTGGTGGCCACGGCGCACCGCGACCGCTGCTGGCTGCCGACGCTCAGCGTGCTGCAGGTGGTGGAGCGCGAGGCGGGACCGCGCAAGATCGCGCCGGCGCCCCGCCTGGCCGCCCGGCGCGACCCTGCCACCGCCGCCGCCGCCACCGCCGCCACCGCCACCGCCGCTGCCGCTGCTCCGTGAGTCGGCGGGAGGAGGGCGATGTGGGTGGACTCGGTTGTGTGTAGGAGGGGTGGGGGTGACGGATGTAGAAGTCGGCGGGAGGGTGTTTAACGTGCAGGCGGGATTGGTTTGACGACAGGTTAAGCCTTGTATGATAGGAGAAGCGCATAGCGTCCGATGTGGGGTCTGCCACCCCCGTTGACATCGCGTGGTCGTGCAGTGCCGTGCAGAGACGGTTCGCCTCGAGTGACACCAGTGTGGCTGTGACCTGACACGGGGCTCCATTCCAGCACCAAGCCAGCGCAGCCGGAGGCGGCCGCCGCCGAGGTGATCGACTACTTCGACTTCACCGGCTGACGCATGCCCGGCGGACACGTCCACCGCCGGCGCCAGCCGTCACGGAGCGGCCCTTGCGTGACGTCACCGGCCGCCAGCAGGCCGGTGACGTCAGGGACAGGCCGGCGCCGCGCGGACGGTCGCTGGAGCCGGCCGCGCGCGCGCCGCTGCCGCGCGTGCGCGAACCGGCCGGCGGACCGGCGCGACGCCGGCTGTGGTGCGGACCGGCGTGCGGGGCCGGCGCGGCCGAGGACGGCGGCCGTGCGGACTCAAGTGCCGGGTCTGGCGTCATCGAGGCGCTGGTCAGTCGCCGCGCTTGCGGCCGGCGCTGGGAACGTGCGGGTTGCGGTGTTGCGCGGGGTTTTGCGGCACGGACGGTGTTCTGTTGGCGCCTGCTCGTGTGTGGGTATAGCCGGGTGCCGCACTGCCAACGCACATGGCGTGATGAGCACCTGTTGCCGGTTACGAACGGTGGTGCCGTGACTTACGTGGGTAAGCTGTGAGGGATGGGGATGTATCGGCCGTGATGACCTGTCTGGTGTCCATACTCTGGTGGTTGACTGGTATGCAAATTATCTGCGGCAATCCGATGGTGCTTGGCACGGTGAATACGTGTTAAACGACTAAATAAGTTTTTGCGATTCCTTTGTTATGATTCTGGCGGTGGCACTCCGAACACTCCGTCCCTAGGAAGCGCCGTCCGCACTGTGCTGCTCCTTTTCTCCAGTTTTATGCACGGTGTTCCACCCCGCCTTCTGCGCGGTATCCATGAGCGCCCGACTTCCGAATTTGTTGGTCACCGCTGCGGTTGGCTCCCTGAATGCGCTTGACTGCAGCCGTGTTAGCAATATCCCGCATCTGTGGGCTCCGCGTGTCTGGCTGGTGTTGAAGCTCTGTCTGCGTAGCCACGGTTACATCGTCTCATTATTTGAGGGTGATGACGCCCTGGCTTTGCCCAGACCCCGGTCTACACCTTTGGTGAGCGTGCGTTTGTTTTGTGGGCAGCGACCCGTTGGACGTAATTTCAACGCAAAATCATCGAGATTGTCATCGCTGTGCGCCGGCTTACGAAGTGCGAGATCCCGAAACGTTGCGTTCTTGGTGTGTTCGGCTTGATGTGGGGTTCGTCTCAAGCACCGAACTTCGGCTTGTTTTCATAGAAACAGCCGGGCCGCGAGCGTGATTGTCGCTGCCGAAGTGCGTCGTTCGTGATATCTATTTTGAAATAAAGCGAATGTTGGGTGAACTGGGGCCTGTGCTCATGTGGAGAAGCGGGCTGAATGATGTGGTCAGCTGACGCTCTGTTGCCGGAGCTCTCACGCCTTTTGACCTGACGACCGGCGACTGGGTGTGCCGCTGCCTTGACTCTGCCAGGCATCAGCGGCCTGCTCTCAGTTCCATGTGGGACTGGACTCGGTTCCAGTGTACTTGTGCACTCACAGGACCCCGTTCCACAGTGCACTTGTGCACTCACAGGACTCGGTTCCACCGCACACCGCGTGGAGCGCGGTGGAAACTCCTCACGGATTATGAGCTTGGCGGGCATCGGGTTAGTATGCTGGCTGGACGATCGAACCAGAGCACATTTGCGCCAACTCTTGCCCGACAAGTCGGACGTGCGTTCAAAGTAATGTTGCAGGTCTCCGTGCTGACACCAAGAGCAATATTCCGTCGTCCGTCGACGACGACGTCCGTCGCAGCACATTGGGCGACTCTGCACGTCCGTCGATCAGATGGACTGAAAAAGCTCGTGGCGAATTCGGTTTCATGTTAAGTCGGGCTTGGAGCCGATGATGAGCCACGAAGCACTGCATGGAAGTAGCCGATTGCACGGAACTAAAAGCGAACATAAGTCATGAGATCGGAAAGAGGAAATTATGGCATTTTATGCTCACTATTGCGCAAGGTTTCAAATGCGTATTTTTCAGCATCGTATGCTCTCGCCGTTGTCTGTGAGCACTCGAGTCGCACTCATTCATTAACTTCGACTTGAGGCCGGCGAATGTTGTTAAGCATCCGGAAACCTGTCGCCATGATTTCGGAGACGCTCCACGTTGCCAAATGCAGGGTATGTTGGTGTAGGGACCTTTATTGTGTCTTCTTCGGACGAATATGCGTTCATTTTGTCTCTTCCAGCTCAACATAACTAATGCATTATATATACACGCTGCGTTCACAGATTGGCGAAATCCATCTCGCGTTTCAGTTCGGGCAAGTTTGGGCGTCCATTTCAGCGATGGCGAGATTGCTTGAGGCAAGACTCTGGGAAGAACTGTATGCCTTGATATAGCTTTTTCAATGGCATTCACAATGAGGCGGCAACTGCGGCGATGTCTTAAGATGAAGGTTTAATGACTGGTCGCCTCGTCACTGGCCTAAGTAGAACCCCCGTGGTTTTCTGTCACGCTGCTGGAGATCGTGCCGACATGTCGATCTGCGGCTGTGCTACTCTGCTTCGTCTCTCCCACACCGCCGTCCGACAGTCGCCCGCCATCGCTGACACGGCCGCCCGGGTCGGTTCCGGTCGCGTGACGTCACCCGGCGTCCGGGAGTGACGTCATCACACGAAGGGCATGGACTCGAGCGGCACGCCGCCGGACACGAAGCCGGCCACCTCCTGCGGGATGGCCTGCGAGTCCTCCTGCTGGCTGCACGGCCGGCACATGCACTCGATCGGCGCTCTCGTCACGATCTGGGGACGGCGCTACAGAGGTCACGATCTGGGGATGGGGTCACAGAGGTCACGATTTGGGGACGGCGTCATGGAGGTCACGATCTGGGGACGGCGCCGTAGAGGTCACGATCTGGGGACGGCGCAGTAGAGGTCACGATCTGGGGACGGTTTCATAGAGGTCACGATGTGGGGACGCTGTCATCGAGGTCACGATCTGGGACGGTGCCATTAGGGTCAGTGGTCTAGTCAGCGGGGATGATCACGACATGGGGACGGTGTCACTGAGGCGGGCGGTCCGGTCAGTATAGAAGCTCACGATTCGGGGCGAAAGGCAGGGTCGAAGGGCCTGGTCCGCATGGAAGGTCAAGTTTGTGGGCGATGCCACAGGCGTGGTGTGGCTAGTGGGAGGTCATAATTTGGGGATTGTGTTAGAGGTCAGGGGTGAGGGGACGGGAGGAGGGGTGCAAGAGGACACGACCTTGATGACCGGTTGATGGCCCAAAGGCACGTCGAGTCGCTCCCTCCATGTAACGTCATAAGCTTACGGCTGAGTTATCCCAGAGGTTGGGGGAAGGGGAGGGGCCCGAGCCCCCAAAGCCATGCTCCACATAACGCGTCAGCACCTGCACCTACGGCCCTGGAATTAACCAATTAACAGGGGGTGATCGACGAGGTCAACGCTTTGCCAGCCAGCGCTCGCGACGGAAGGTTTACCGGGATGATCCGCCCTGAAATGAACCCTTCGGTCAGGTGATCCATCCTGAGACCGTAGTTTCGTCCTTTCCATTACGATAGTTTTCTGACCATCTAGCCCGAAGAATCGAGGCAGGCTCAAAGTCTGCAGGCCTAAAACGACGGCATTAATTTTAATGCTCAATATTTCGGCTCGATGTCCTGATGGCGTATTACTTTTGGGTATGTCGCTAGCACACCCTGTAAACAACACACAGCAGTTGTCCACGTTCCGCACTCTTGGGAGGCATCCTTGGTCAAGTGCTCGTTGTTTGAATGCCGTCATTTCAGGCCTGCATACAGTGACGTGGACCACTGCTGTGTGTTGTTTACATTGCGTGCTAGCGACATACCCCCCAAAAATATTCGCAGTAGCGTACCACAAATACTCCATCAGGAGATTAAGTAGAAATATTGAGCATTTGAGCATCAGACAGGCACGCGACCCGTACATCTGCCACACTGCGGAGAAGGTAAGACTGCGGCGCAGGTCGCCTCCGAACGTGGCCATCACCCGGCCCAGCAAGCGGGCTCTCACCTTGCGGAACTTGGGGTCGCCATGTTTGGCTTGCGGACAGAACAGCGAGACGGACGCCTCGCGCTGTCCACTCTCCTGACAGCACATGCAGGAGCGCTCTGTCTGCCAAAGCTTACTGCCCGACACCTGTTGACGAGGATGTCACGGTTCTTTCAGCGCAGCTCACTGCCCGACGTCAGATGACAGGGACAACACGGTCCCCGGATACAGCTTATTGCCCGACGCCTGTTAACACGCGCTCGGGTGGGGTCAAATTGACCTCCCCCCCTCCCGAAGGCTTTTCCACAATGGTTTCTGAACGGCGTGGCGTAGCCGCGCTAAATTTTATGTAGCTGTAGAAAATTGAACGGCGGACCGTCTTACATAAATAATTTAGGTGTACCTGCTAAGGTCACTGACCTACGGCGGGTCAAAGTCGGGCCATGGTTTCAGCGAAGGCAATTTTTAGGGAATGCTTCAATCTGATCCAACAACGGAGTGTTAAACAAAGCCATACATCTCTGGGATGCTTTCTTAGGCAACAAAACAGTTGAATGAGCAAATAAGATTGACCTAAGGCCACGTATGAAGGTTACACCAAGGTCAAAATTGACCTGCTTTGTTACTCTAGGACTTGCTGTATGGGATAGTTTCTGGTGCTCATTTCGAGTTTATTGATAGCAGGAACCGCATCATACATCTTCCATGGACTTCTTAGAGGTCAGAATGGGCCATTGACCTAAAATAACCCAGGTCAACATATTGTTTTAGGAACATACTGTCTAGCGTAACCTTTGTCGCTTAGTCAAATGCAAAATTCAAAGCAATCTTGTATGATTTTGGTCACTTTGACCTTCAAAGGTCAAACAAGGTCACTGACATTGAGTGAGAATGTGAGCCTTTGCTTAGAAACAGTTATCCAGGTTCTGGGGGCACTTTGAAGACCTACCTGGAACTTGACATCATTTGACTTTTTTTGACCCAAAGGTCATGACCTAGGAACCTGAAACTTTGACCTAAGTGAGTTCACGTACCGGTCAACACAACCTGTAGATTTGGTGTTCTAACTTTTTTAGTTCTTGAGATTTCGGGGGGGTCAAATTGACCCCCACCCGAGCGAAGGGTATCTAGCCGGCCACCCGGGCGTGTGTTAACAAGGGTGGCACGGTCCCTTCAGCATGTTAACAACCCTGTCAGAGTTTACTGTCCAACGCCAAAGCCAGTGGCATCAAACTTCATCTGTAGCAGTCATCTGTAGTCTGTACTGTCCGACACTTGAGGAAAGGGACAGCACGTACCATCCGTCTCAGGCTACAGCGGGACACTCGAGGACAAAACAACACAATATGTCAGTTTACTGTCCGATGCCCGCGAGTCCCTCGAGCTCCGCGGTGGTGCTGGCTAGTCTCAGGATTACAAGCCCTCGATGTCCATGACACGCCACAGGCGACTCCGCCGGCCGCAAGTTCCGGAGCTGTTGGGAAAGTTTGCGACCAATCCTTGGCAAAATCCTTGGAATTATTATTTCAGCTACAACAGTTTTCTGTGGAATGAAATCTACCACCGCCGCATGAATTTCCACGGAAATGGCCTTACCTGTCGCAAGTGCCAGAAACTAACCCAATTAGGCACCCATTACTTCAAGTCATCGTAGGGGAACCTGTAAAACAAGCATACTTAGCGGACAACTGCGTTCATTCTTCGGGCTGTCAGACCGCTGGGATCAGTCCTCAGGTTGTGAGGCCGCCGTGTTCAGTCCTCCGACAGTCCGGTAATCTCTAACCGGAGCCTTCCCCGACAATCCTACCTGCACATAGCTGGTGCAGTGGCCGACGCAAGCGTACGACGGAATCGGCTTGGCCACGCAGCCGGGGTATTGCAGCACGTGCACCACGGGCGTGAGTTTGCACTCGTCGGCGCCGCTGGGCGTCAGCCGCGTCGCCAGCGCCGCCAGGCCGGTCAGCAGTACCAGACCCCAGGTCATGGTCAGTAGATCTGCGGTGCACGGGGGGGGGGGGAGTCAGCCGCCGCGAGGAGCTCAGGCCGGCGACGGGCGCGACTCACGGCGGGGGGAGTCAGCCGCCGTGGGGAGCTCAGGCCGGCGACGGGCGCGACTCGCTCACTGCACGACTCACGGCGGGGCAATGCCGACCCACGGCGCACCGCCCGGCGTCGCCTCCTCACACGCGGTGGCCGGGCGGGCCCGCTCCGGCGCGAGGCGGACCGCGCCGGGACCGTACCTGGCCATGTCCGCCGCATCGCTGCCGCCGGCGCCGGTCCCGCCGGTCACTGCACTGGCGGCCGAGCTGGCCGGCGTCGTGCGCGCTCACCGACGTGGGCAGCGGCGCCGTCAGAGCGGCCCCACCTCACGGAAAGTCCTGGCGCCGCTAAACCGGCCCATCTCGCGATACCCGTCGTGGGGGAGCTGCGGCCGTCTGCGTAGCACCCCCACCAACAACAAGGTGACATGGATCCCTCAGGCGAAACCCGGCGCCTCTTCCGTTGCGGCCAGACCGGCCGCAGCGGTGCATCGTCGCTCTAATGAGCGTCAGTGCCCTCCGATGCACCCAGTGCACCGGAGTGAGCCCAGCTTCAGGCACACGTGATGGACCTGTTCACAATGAACACCCGGCACCCAAAACATCCCTGCTCACCAGCCTGTGCAAGCCACAGCGATCCGCAGCCAGCGACGGCGCCCGGCTCAACGCGTCAGCAGGGTCTCACGTCGGCCGTGAGGGCCGGGCACCTGGCAACGCGGAAGCGCGGCTACCCCGCCCTGGCAACGCCCCTGCAGCGGCCGGTACCGTCGGGCAATCGGATGGTCTCGCTCCGGGCCGAACTGCGGGTATCGCCGTGCTGGCGCGGGATCGATACAGTAAGTCGTGCCCGGCTGCTTTGTCGGACGCGTTTGGGTCGCAGTTGCGATCCTTGATGATGTTGTTCGAGAACAGAAATGCTCCGAGGGAGCTAAGGAGCCTCAATTAAATTTTTTGAAACGCTGGACGCTCAACGCCATTGCCGGAAGCTGCAGGACATTGCTGCCTTCAGAGTACCCAAAGAAACATCGGAACGATTCCGGGTCGTTATGCGTGCGATGGTTCGCTTCGTATCGTGTGGCATGGGACATATCCTTTGCTGGTAACGTGGTTATCTAGAACCACACATGTTAGCCCCGTAAAACGATTTAACGGAATCTACACACACAGACCCCTGTGAGGAATAACGGACATTAAGCATACTTTATGGCTCATAACTTCATGTGAAGTTCGTATGCTAAGAGTAGGAGAGACATCGTTTCAAAACTAACCAGAAGCTTCGAAGCATAGTCCCGGTGTCTTGGAGGGGAGCAGGGGGAAGGACAACCCTATGCGATCAACATGATACAGGCATTGACAAATATCGGTACTAGGTGTAGTCATATGCCTAATTATCCCATGAAATAAGCCAGACAAAGCTGCTCAGAGCGGTCATTTGAACCCACAAGTTTGACCTGTGCTGACCTGGCGGCGTGACCTGTGCTGACCTGGCAGGCGTGACCTGTGCTGACCTGGCGGGCGTGACCTGTGCTGCCGTTCACCTGGGGCTGTTGGTCATTCCCAGTGCCGCACACCGCTGCACAGAGAGTGCCATCGTAAGCCGCCGGCCCCGGTGGTTTTATCCAGCAGCAGCGCCCCGCGGGAGGGCCGCGCCTCCCCGCAGGCAGGTACACACCATTCGCTTTACGTGACACGCGGCTGGCCGGGCACTCGGTCGGAACTGGGACGACTCGCTCTGAGAGGGTGGACGGATGCCGCGATGGCTGTTGGAGCCACGCATGCAGAGAGACCTCTGGGTATTCGGACAGAGCAGAGCCGATCGCGGTTTGGGTAAGTGGCGCACGACGCTGATGTGTAAACCGGGCTGATCTCTACGGAGGCGTATGGCGTCGTAAAACATGAGCGACTCTCCAGAGAGGGACGACATTTCCAGAATAGCTGCCAGTGGGCCGTGTCAGATGCCACAACAAATCTGATTTAGCAGTGTTCTTTCA